TATGGCTTAAAAGAAGAGGAATCACTTGGTTAACAGATGCTATGTGCAAATCGGATGAGGAAAGGCTGCAATTCACTTAACGCTGCGGTGTCCGAAGACCTACAGTTTATGGACTTTGTGTTTGGGTTGTTGGGGTTGAATTGGGTTATGGCTGAGAATGTGAGCAGTGAGTTGTGGACTTGGACGAGTTTTTGTAAAAAGAGTAGGCATTTATTTTTAATTTCACTTACTATTTTTTGGGTTGTGTGGAAGGAAAGGAACGCGAGAGCGTTTGAGGACAATGAGACTAATTTTACATATCTTAGAGATAGATGGATACATACTTTTGGTTTTATTTTGCTTGGTCATGACATTAATGATTGGGAGGATTTGGGGATGGTCATAGACCATTTAATTGACTTACTAGCTTATGTACTTGGGTGATACCTCCTTGATATTTTTGTGAATAATATCTTTTCTTTTTTATTTAAAAAAAAAATTTAATTCTAATAAGCTTTGCCCGGTTACATTTAGGACATTGTTGTTGGAGAAGCTTGTGCAGATTTGCGGCATCAATTGGATATATCTTATCCTGTCCACAATGGTATTGTGCAGAACTGGGATGATATGGGACATGTGTGGGATCGTGCTTTTTACCATGAATTAAAAGTAATAATTCTGATGCTTCTAGTGATATGAAAATTCAAAATTTTCAGTTCCTACTTTCTTTTTCTCGTATCGTCTCTCAGGTGTCTAACTCTTCTACATTCTCCATCAATAGATCAACCCAACAGAATGTAAGATCTTACTCACAGATCCGCCTCTTAATCCCTCAAAAAACCGTGAAAAAATGGTTTGTGATTTAGTTTTATGATACCGTGCTTGATTTTTTTTCTTGTCATAATTAAGTTGCACCATATTCGTATTATTTGGATTTGATGTAACAGGTAGAGACCATGTTTGAAAAGTACAACTTTGCTGGTGTTTTCATTCAAATCCAGGCTGTTTTGACTTTGTATGCTCAAGGTGCTTATGAAGATGATTGAAGGTTTAGATTTAATTTCATTTAGTAATTTATGAAGTTTTTTTGAATGCCTCTGAAGACCATGGAAACTTTTTCTCCAAACTGCATAATTACTTACAAGAAAACTTGCTAAAGTTTTCTTGTAGAAGCAAGAACTATTGTTTTTTTCTTTTTCCAACTTATACACCACTGTTAATGCTGGTAGTGTTAAGTTCCTTTATTTTTGAAGTGCAATTCACATAACCTTGAATTCTAACAGGTTTACTTACTGGATTGGTTATTGACTCTGGTGATGGTGTCACTCATGTGGTAACCTCTGACAACCTTTTATTCACTAAAATCAGCAGTGTTTCAGACTATTCCAAATGTGTCTCCATTACCTCATTGTAGCTTGATTAGTTTTTTTGGATGTTGCTTGTGGATAAAATTATTATTTTGATATTTAGCATTTGGATGAACTCATCCTATGTCAAAGCATTTTCGTTTCATCTTTAGTAATTTCTCTCTCTCCTCCTTCCCCTGCCACCCATCTTGCCCCTCATCCAAATAATGATAGAACTAAAAATAATGCATGATAGTATCTTCAAATTCTTAGACCTTCAACTTCATTGAGT